CTCTCTCTCTCTCGGGCTCCCTTCTCTGCCGTGTCGCGACGCGGTAGACGCGCTGTTCGCCGGTCGTACGACACAGGGCGCCTATCACCGCAACCCTCACGAATGCATAATCACCCTGGCGCGCACGGCGGATGCGCGATCGCGCGTCTTCCCGTTGGAATCGACTGGACCGAAGAACGCGATTCAAGTGAAATCTTAATTTTCTACAGGTTGCATGAGCGATTCTTCTAAAACAAGAATAATTCACCGTTTCCAAACGTGCCGTACATTGCGATCGATGATATATTTATTAAACAATTAAGTAGAACAAGGTATGAATAAGGTATATATGGCTGTTTGAAAAATTTTAAGATTCGACATGTACGTTTTATCTTTTCGGAGCTGCCTTTGCGAATTCCGCGGAAATGTAATTCTTAACTTTTGCGACCGCTTCATTGGAAGCTGTCTACATTCGAAATCCGCGCAATCGGAAGCATGCAATATCGCCGCGGAAGCGGTTCGAGCGCGGTTATCGTAAAATCACAAGAAAAATTTCTGGGACAGTTCGCTTCAGGATTCGCTCCGGCGAAGTAGGTTAACCAATCGCGAATTTTCTACCCGTTCGGCGCACCCTTCTATTTTCCATTCACCCTACCTTCTTGCTCATGAAACGAGCTGAACGGTTCGTCGCGCCTTCTGCGCGACCTCCGCACCGGAAATTAAACGTGAAAACAGTACTGTGTCGGACCTCAATTCACGAGATAATATTTTCGGTCATATCTACGGAAGAGCGGAAGCTTTTCCGCGCACCGTCGCCCGCGCGTCGAATTCCGTTCACGAGGGAAAAATCCAGGGAGGAAAAAAAAAGAGGATGAGAAACGCGCGTCACTGTCGTCAAATATTTTCGTCAAAAATTTTTCTGGGCGCGTTTTACATAAGCGGACGGTGTGGTCTGTAAGCGCGACGTCGCCTTTCTAAAAGAAATGTAAATCCTTTTGAGACGACCAACGGTTTAGTCTGTTTACCTTTGGTATTCAGACGCCAATTCAGACGCGCCGGAATTGGGACGGGGAAACGTGGGAATATACACCGGGGGAACGGATCGGTGACACACCTAAATCGTCAATCCCGATGCGAGGATTCGCACGGTGCATCTCGGTTGAGCCTCGCTCATCGCTAATGAACGCGACGTAACTTAGAAAATGACTTTAAACCGGCTGCCGCGTATCCGGCGCGCGTGGCGAACCGCGTCATTTTCTGAATAAAAGACACGCCAAACGGAATGTTCGCTCACCCCGTATCTATCGATCGAGATGCAATTTTACGAAGAATCGTTCGAGCGGATACATCTTTTTGCGGTACGTTTTATCTCGGGGACGACGATGGAGAAAGTACCGATCTCCTTCGCCCTCAAATTGACTTTTCCTCTATTCACGATCGCGATTAACAATTCGCCCGATTAACCATAGTTGTTTCCCAATGGCGGAACGCGGGAAATCGATGGCTTTCGTACGGGAGAGAGAGAGAGAGAGAGAGAGAGAGAGAGAGAGAGAGAGAGAGAGGGAGAGAGAGAGAGAGACGAC